GTGACCTCAGTGTACTGACGTTTGGGTATCTTGTTGAAGAAGGATTAAAGAACTCGAAGAGCGGTACTGAAAACAAAAGGCTGGCATTCTGGAAAGGAAACTATGGCGAGATAAGGAAATTCCTGACATATAGCATGGGAAACAGAGCACAGAGATAAGACATGGTGGACTACATCACGCAGAAGTGTGAGGAGGCAGCAGACAAGTTTGTCCCACCCCAAAAGGAAAACAATGAAATGCAGATGAGAAACCCATGGTTTAATCAGAGATGTAGGATAGCTAAGCAGCAAAGTAAAAGGGCATGGAGAAATTATAGAAATAACAAGACACTTGAGAGCAGAGAAAGATACCAGAGTGCTAGGAATGAATATGTCAATTTGAGAAGAGAGGTAAAAGGGCAATATGCAAATGACATCGCAAGCAAGGCAAAGACTCAACCTAAATTGCTGCACAGCAACATCAGGAGAAAAACAACAGTAAGGAACAGGTAATGAAAATGAGGATAGGGGCAGGCAGATTCCCTGCAAACGACAAGAAAGTGTGCGAGGAACTGAATAAGAAATTCCAGAAGGTCTTCACATTAGAGCAAGGGGAAGTTCCAGAGATAAGAGAGGGAATAGTTAACCATGAACTACTAGAAAAGTTTGTGATTACCAGTGGGGATGTAAGGAAGTTCTTGCTACAGTTGGATGTGACAAAGGCTATAGGCCTGGATGGAATCTCTCCATGGATACTAAAGGAAGGAGCAGAAGCACTGTGCCTGCCACTCTCCATAGTGTATAACAAATCACTGGTAACAGGGGAATTGCAAAAAATTTGGAAGACGCCTAATGTAGTCCTGATATACAAGAAGTTGGATAGACAGGAGGCACTGAACTACAGACCAGTGTCCCTAACTTGCATACCATGCAAGCTGATGGAGAAGATTGTGCGAAAAAAAACTAGTGGAACACCGGGAGCGAAAGAACTTTGTAATACAGCATCAACATGGGTTCAGGGATGGCAAGTCCTGCCTCAAAGGATTTATTAAATTCAACGACCAGGCAAGAAAAATAAGGCAAGAAAGAGAGGGGTGGGCAGATTGCATATTTTAGGATTGCCAGAAAGAATTTGACATAGTACCACACAAGAGGTTAGTAAAAAAGCTGGAGATGCAGACAGGAGTGAAAGGGAAGGTATTCCATTGGATAAAGGAGTACCTAAGCAACAGAAGACAACGAGTCAGTGTGAGGCCTCAGATTGACAAGACGTCACCAGTGAAGTCCCGCAGGGTTCAGTCCTTCGACCTATACTGTTTCTGATATATGTAAATGATCTCCCAGAGGGTATAAAATCGTTCCTCTCATTGTTTGCTGATGATGGAAAAATTATGAGGAGGATTATAAAAGACGATGATAGTAGGAGGCTGCAAGATGACCTAGACAGACTCAATGAATGGTCCAACAAATGGCTATTAAATTTCACCCCGAGTAAATGCAAGGTCATGAAACTAAGCAATGGAAACAGACACAGGATACCGAATGGGAAATGAAGTACTTCATGAACCGGACAGAGAGTAAGATCTAGGAGTTGATATCACACCAAACCTGTCTCCAGAAGCCCACATAAAAAAAATTAGATCTGCAGCATACGCGAGGCTGGCTACCATCAGAACAGCCTTCAGGAACCTGTGTAAGGAATCATTCAGAACCTCAGAACCTTGTACTCAGCATATGTAAAAACAATTCTGGAGTATGCGGCCCCAGCATGAAGCCCGTACCTTGTCAAGCACAAGACGAAGCTGGAAAAAGTTCAGAGGTATGCCACTAGGCTAGTCCCAGAACTAAGCGGCATGAATTACGAGGAAAAGCTGCGTGAGATGCACCTCACGACACTGGAAGAGAAAGAAGTAAGCAGAGGCATGATCACTACCAACAAAATTCTCAGAGGAATTGACAGCGTAGATAAGGATAGACTTTTTAACATGGGTGGTACGCTAACAAGCGGCCGCAGGTGGAGACTGAGTACCCAAATGAGCCACAGGGACGTTAGAAAGAACTTTTTCAGTGTCAGAGTAGTTAACAAGTGGAATGCATTAGGCAGTGATGTGGTGGAAGCTGACTCCATACCCATTTTCAAATTTACATAGGATAGAGCCCAGTAGGCTCAGGAATCTTTACATCAGTTGATTGACGGTTAAGAGGCGGAACCAAAGAGCTAGAGCTTATCCCCGCAAGCACAATTAGGTGAGTACACATACATGCACATGTGAAGGAAAACACAAGGGGGAAGATCAGGGGATACACCAAGCCTATTAGACCTGATTTTGAACCAGAATGAGAAAGATATTACATGTATGGAACATTAAATACCAGTAGAAGCCAGTGATCATTGTGATCTTGTCTTTGACTACATGATCGAGCTTAACAGTGTGACCACGGGGCAAGAAGTCTGGGAAAGGGGAGTAGACAATTAGAAAGGAAATTACAGGAGGATAAGAGAATATCTGGGAGAAGTTCAATGGGAAGAAGGACTAGGAGGAAAAACAGTGCAAGATATGATGGACCAGTCAAATGGAAATGCAAGGAGGCCTAAGAGAATTTTATACCAACAGTAAAATATAAGAGAAGGAGGGTATAAAAACCAATGGGTTAATAGACTGTGCCAGAAAGTAAAAATGAGAAGCAAGAGGGAGTGGAGAAAGAACAGAGGACAGAGGACAATAAGATTAGATGCAACAGAGCTGGGAATGATTACACAAATATAAGGAGAGTATCGGAAAAGAATTATGAAAACGATTTGTAATTAATGAAAGCGAAAAGACACCTAAATTACTACATAGCCACATAAGATGTACAATGTACGACCAAGTAACAAGACTAAGGAAAACACAAGGGGCATATACAGAAAGCGACAAGGAAATGTGAGGTACTGAAAGCCAGTTTCCATGGAGTGTTCACAACCAAGCCTGAGCAGCTCGCATTGTTAGAAGAGAAGATGATCCAAAATGAGAGACTAACGGATATAGAGATGACAGGAGAGGAGGTAATGAAACAGATAACAACACTCGATGAAACTAAAGGAGCTGGACCAGTCAATGTATCACCGCTAGAGGCACGCTGAGAGCCTCTAGCAAGGATCTATAATGAATCACTTAAAAGGGAGAGCTGTCCAGTTGTTGGAAGAGGGAAAATATGGAACCAATATTCAAAAAAGAAGATAGGGAGGAGGCACTTAACAACAGACCAGTATCACTGACAAGCATCTCCTGTGAAGCACTTGAAAGAATAATCTGGTTAAAATTAAGACTGATTACACAGATGGAGAACATTAGGTATATAAACAAACACCAACATGGGTTCAGAGAAGTGAGATCGTGCCTAACAAACCTTTTGGAATTCTATGAAGAAGTTACAAGAATAAGGCAGGACAGGGAAGGATGGGCAGACTGCATATTTCCGGACTGCCAAAAAACCTTGACACAGCACTGGACAAGAGCCTGCTATTCAAACTTGAGAGGCAGGCGGGAGTAAGCAGAAAAGCCCTAGCTTGGGTAAAGAGTTACTTAACGGGCAGGAGCCAGAGAGTAACAGCCAGGAGCGAGAAGTAAGACTGGCGAAACGTAAGGAGTCGAGTACCTCAAGGATCGGTGCTGGGACCACTTTTATTTCTAATATACGTGAACAACATGTCTAAAGGAGTCGAGTCTTATATGTTGATGTTATGGATGTCTTATATGTCTTATATGGATGTCGCGAAATAATGAGATGAGTTGTGACAGATGAGGATTGTAGGATCTTCCAAGAGGATTTGAACAAGCTGCACAGATGGTCAGAGAAATGACTACTGGAGTTCAACACGAACAATTGTAAAGTTATGGAAATAGGACTTGACAACAGGATACCAAAAGGTCGGTACACAATTAAGGGAAACTACCTTTCTGTGACGATTCGAGAAAGGAACCTGGGAGTGGACGTAACACCAAATCTAATTCGTGAGGCACATACAAATCGGATAACGACAGCAGCGTATTCTATACTACCATAAGATAGAACGTCATTCAGAAATCTAAGTAAGAAGGCATTCAGAGCGCTTTGCACTGCTTACGTGAGACCAGTCCTAGAGTATGCAGCCCCAACGTGGAGCCCCCCACCTGAAAAAACACATTAGGAAACTGGAAAAAGGTTAACAAAATTGAGATGAGGCTAGTCCCTGAGTTGCATGGGATGGGATTTGAAGTGCGACTGAAGGAACTGAACCTGACGACGTTAGAATAAAAAGGGAGCGGGGAGATATGCTAGCAGCATACAAAATACTTAGTGGGATGGACAGAGTGGAAATAGACGAAATGTTTACACGGAATACCAACAGAACAAGGAGACATGTGTGGAAGCTGGAAAGCTCAGATATGTCATAAATTTGTTAGAAAGTTTTCTTTTACCATGAGAGTAGTGGAAAAATGGAATGAACTAAAGGAGCACATTGTGGAAGATAACACTATTTACAGCTTTAAAACTAGGTATAATTGAAGGACAGGAATCATTGATTTAAACAACCGAAGGCTATAAAGTCGGAACCCAAGAGCCAACGCCTGATCCTGCAGGCACAAAGAGGTGAGTACAAATAGGTGAGTACACACTACATAACTGTACTTCATTTAAAATACATACAATAAATGACCAAAAAAACATAATTTGTTGAAACGTCTAAGATTTGTTTGACTGACATTTACGTATTATTAATGTTACAAGAACGTCTTTACATAAATAGTTACTGTTGTACCAATCGGCAACAAGTTCAAACGTTCACAACTTTAATGTTTGCTGGGGTGGTGATAACTGTTGCATCACTGAGGTAGGACTGGCTCTCATTAGTGCTTAGTATTGCACAGTTGCAATATATGTAATCTTAACACTAATATAACACATTTCAGAGATATTAGATGACAAAAGTTAAATTATATTATTTTTGAAATGTGAATATAATGATTAGTTCAGTAATTTATTGATTGTTTTCTCCAGGTAGCTGAACACACTTCTTTCTCATCAATGAGCATTAGGAGCATTAAACAAGATGAAGCATATCATGGCGACACCAAAAAAACGAATACATTCTATAGGAAAGGTATTTGTAATATTTATTTTTGAGTGAGTGAGCAAAAGGTTGTGAGGCTTGGCCCCGGCATCTGACCACCAACCTGTGAGTGAGCAGATGGTTGTGTGAGGCTTGGCCCCGGCATCTGACCACCAACCTGTGAGTGAGCAGATGGTAGTGCGAGGCTTGGCCCAGGCATCTGACCACCAAACTGTGAGTGAGCAGATGGTAGTGTGAGGCTTGGCCCCGGCATCTGACCACCAACCTGTGGGTGAGCAGATGGTAGTGTGAGGCTTGGCCCAGGCATCTGACCACCAAACTGTGAGTGAGCAGATGGTAGTGTGAGGCTTGGCCCAGGCATCTGACCACCAAACTGTGAGTGAGCAGATGGTAGTGTGAGGCTTGGCCCAGGCATCTGACCACCAAACTGTGAGTGAGCAGATGGTAGTGTGAGGCTTGGCCCAGGCATCTGACCACCAAACTGTGAGTGAGCAGATGGTAGTGTGAGGCTTGGCCCAGGCATCTGACCACCAAACTGTGAGTGAGCAGATGGTAGTGTGAGGCTTGGCCCAGGCATCTGACCACCAAACTGTGAGTGAGCAGATGGTAGTGTGAGGCTTGGCCCAGGCATCTGACCACCAAACTGTGAGTGAGCAGATGGTAGTGTGAGGCTTGGCCCAGGCATCTGACCACCAAACTGTGAGTGAGCAGATGGTAGTGTGAGGCTTGGCCCAGGCATCTGACCACCAAACTGTGAGTGAGCAGATGGTAGTGTGAGGCTTGGCCCAGGCATCTGACCACCAAACTGTGAGTGAGCCGATGGTAGTGTGAGGCTTGGCCCAGGCATCTGACCACCAAACTGTGAGTGAGCAGATGGTAGTGTGAGGCTTGGCCCAGGCATCTGACCACCAAACTGTGAGTGAGCAGATGGTAGTGTGAGGCTTGGCCCAGGCATCTGACCACCAAACTGTGAGTGAGCAGATGGTAGTGTGAGGCTTGGCCCAGGCATCTGACCACCAAACTGTGAGTGAGCAGATGGTAGTGTGAGGCTTGGCCCAGGCATCTGACCACCAAACTGTGAGTGAGCAGATGGTAGTGTGAGGCTTGGCCCAGGCATCTGACCACCAACCTGTGAGTGAGCACAAGGTTGTGAGGTTGCCGCAACCTGTTCTTTTGCAAATTACGTCGCTTTTTGCTCGTTTGTGCTATTGCCGCCAAATATGGCCATAATTTAAAAATGAATAATAATTGAAAATAATTTTTTCTCTTTTTTTCTTTTACAAAACAGCAAGTTAAAGGTCCTCTGGTAGGTTAAAAGGGCAGGAAGTTCTCCTATGCTTTCAAAACGTAATGAAACTCGTTAATTGAAAGTTTTCTCTCCTAACATAACAGCATACGTCAGAGGACACAAAACAGAAAATGAAATAGTTCTTCACTTTTGCGAGCCGATTTAATTTTGAATTAAGTCGATTTTTAGCATGAGTGCACATACGAGCGAAAAGCGACGTAACTTGTAAAAGGACGAATTGGGTCCCAACCTCGGGCAGACAAACACCAATTCTTTTACAGATATAGATTACCCATCAATACAATACCTAAAGACACATTTATTAAATTTGTCTGAAAGTTTGCACGTGACTGGTGGCTTTATAAGATATATAAATATCGATAAGAATGTGTCTCTAACGATAACACTGACGACGAGGTAGAAGGGGAGAAACTGTCTCCTCACCTCATCCTTCGCCCTGTGGAACAAATACCAGGATTACCTGAACGAGGAGAATTTCATAGAACCAAAAAAATCTCGTTACTAGAACCATGAATTTAAAATTAAATTATTACTGTAAATACATAAAGTGCATCACCAAAAGCTCTCTTAGTTGAAGGTAAGGTTCCTATGCTGGGTTGTAAGTCCACTCCTCGGTGACCATAATTCTGGTAATGGGCTGTAGCAGGTAGGGTCCTTAAGGCTGATCTAGTTCATCAATTACTGAACCACAAATTACCTGCAGGTTAACCCACACATTTAACATGTAATTTTATACAAAGATATGATAAAACAGCTCTATGACTGCAAACACTGGTAAGGTTTATGATCTAAGATCTGAACGATGTAAATTGTCTAGACTAGTCCTAGGAATAATATATATCAGTCAATAATAATGTGCTAGCGCAACACAACCTTATCCTTATTACACAAGGATAAGCTGTATGTAAATTTGCATAAAATTATTATATACACATGATGATTTTATATATATTAAAATTTAAATGATTGATTGAACAATATAAAAAGTTCAGTTACTGCACGAATAAAGTCAGAACTTATTAATGATGAGGCGTTACCTCGCTGCCTAATGACTCAATTTATATATGGATGTATTAATGTTATAAAGCATTCTAATTGGCCAATCTATGCTCTAAAACAATTAATAATTTATCCTGAATTGAGAACCGGAGCCTATCTGACAGTAACCAGATGGTGTCTCTCTTGCCACGACTAGACTATATATTTTAATGATGGTTTGACAGCTTAATGATGATGATTCGATGTCACAGCTTGCTGTAAAGAATTCTAACAGCTTGCTCAGATAGGGAGTACACGTTGTTACATTTCACTTGGTAGATGAGGTGGTGGTGGTGGGGGCCTCTCTAGCTGGTGGCCCTCTACACTCTTATAATCTAAATAAAAGCGCTCCCTATAGTGAACACTTCCTAGAGGCATGAAATGAACTAATTCCCTATACAAAACTACAGCAGACTCTACCTTTGACTGCAACCAGCTAGATGTAATGCTGATCTATATAGGGAGAGGGTGAGAGTGGATGACTTCCCTCAGTTGATGACCGGTCCACACTGACCTTCCTCACTCTGCCCAACACAGAAGCCCGAGGGGGTATTCCTATGCCTGGCTTACTAAGTTTACTAGCAGGGATTTTAAGTTGAACAACTAATCTGTTGTACTGAATGACCCAGATGGTTGAACTCTTTTGAACTGAAGGTAATTGCACAGGCATCTTAGGGAAGAGCTATTTTCAATTACAAAATGGCTATTTGACCTTTGAGAAACACTAAATGTGGAAGGCTTTGGTGACCCCTATGACCTAGGTCGCACAAATTGCTCCGCGACCGAGGCTTGTCCAGGCTAGTGACGTCATTGATGGTGACTAACTAAAGTATTCCGACAATTGAGGATACTCTTGATACTTTAAACAGAATACTATTGAATATAATTTGAATGGAGACTTAAATTTCTCTAAATTACTGAATTCTGTAAACTAATTCATTATATGTTGCTCAAGACAGACGCCGGCCATTTTGTGACCTAAACCGCCAGCCCCAAGGGCTGGCGGTTTAGGTCCAGAGTCCAGAGTCCAGCCCCAAGGGCTGGACTCTGGAAGCCTTGTGCTTCCAGAGTCAGGTGAACTACCACTTGAAACCAAACTTTCCAAACCCCCATAGTCTATGAGAAACCATACTGAATAATTCCTACAACAAACCTAGTTTGTTACACTCCCCCCCCCCCCCCGCACAAGTAATTTAGTAAACCTTGTTATTTTCTCTAAAATAACGAGGTTTAGTATCCAAACCCTCAATAACTCAAACTCATGCCTCAAACAAAAGCTAACCTATCTAAGAAAAGTGACAATCAGATTGTCCAGCAACATCACAATAAACATTTTCAAATTCATCACTGTCTCGGCTGTCAAGTGACAGCAATCCTCCAACATCAGCAAACATACATCCTACACTTACTGACATAGCTAAATAAAACATCCTTAATCTAACAGCAAAGACTAGCTATTAAAATTCCTTGGCTCTTCACTAGCCAACCACGTGTGTTCCCTAGAGCCGGACACACACAATTCTCAACATTAAACATAAATATATCTACAGACTGAACTTTCAGTCATCCGGGAGCGTACCACTGAACTCTACGAAGTTCACATCCGTGTACTATCCACTCCCCAATCAATGTCAATCTTGACATTCTAATAAAAACACGCCTAGTTTTTATTCCATACATTTAAATATATATAAAAAAAATCTAGTATAACTATATCACAGGTTACGGCTGACTGCACACCCAAGTGTGCGCACTCACTTGAAGTGTCAATGTTTTTATTGGTCCGCCTCTCCTGTGTTCAAAAATTCTGAAAAAAATAGCACAGCAATATTTTCCATGACAGTTTGTTCTGGGCTTAGACAATTACACAGGGGCTTTGATTTTAATTACTGACCAATTTATAGAGTAAAATTTTCATATATCATTATACCAGAATAATATTTATTTTAAATCTGTTTTTCAACATTTAAACAAGTGTTGTGATTCTAAATCTGTTTTTCAACATTTAAACAGTAGTATCCAGATTTGCTTTATAAAGGTGTTCAGAGCCAACCTTATCTTTTTCCCAAATGTTCATATTGAGTAATTTAAACAAAAAATCGATGCTGATGAACGCTGAATGTAGTTGCTGACGATGGCGGTGTCGATCTTGCTTCTTCCATGCGGAGATGTCGATACCTGGTCCTCTTGTACTTCCATCCGGTAGTCTTGAATGACGACAGAGTGTAGTAGAGCGGAGCGCCAAGTGACAGCTGTAAAATACTGTTGCTTCGACTGTTGACCTGGCTCCCGACAGTCCACACGTCTTCATATCACTCACAGTTCACACAGCAGTCCTGATGTTATTTGACGGCGCAGATGACCACAGCAGAGCAGGACTGGACGTACCAACGGTGTCTCGTAGCAAGAGTGGTGTCAGAAGGTCGTTGAGGCGGGTTGCTTTTTTGCAGAACAGGTGAATCCCGTCTTCCATCATTGCTCACGTCATCTCAGGAGTTTCTTGAGGTCACCAGGTTACTAGGCCGTTAACACCAACTGTGTATATCCTCGTACCGCCGACTTTAGGCCAAAAAAGGCAATTTTACGACCTTCTATTGGCGAGTCTCGGAACTCTGTAGGAAGACCATGCCTTCCACCTGTGACTGCCTTAGTTCCGCTTTCCTGTTACTTCAGACGACGTAAT